GTCCTGTATATCCATTATCCCTCCTCTGCATATGCACAAAACACCTCAACCTTATATTTTTCAGTGCGACCAGTTAGAAAAGATGCAAAATAAAGAAAATAAAAGTAAAATGCAGAAGTACTGATCTATCAACACAAGTAAAAATGTTAACTAAAGGAGAGACACAACAGGTAAACCGGAGCTGCACAGTTTAGACTTTATGGTGGCGAATGGAAACATATGGACTCCTCTACATGTAGTAGCAGGTTGTATGCAGCACAACCGTGTGCGTGTATGTTTTATTTGTCTTGCTCTAAGCTCATAGTTGAAGAAATTGACCGCAGGCACAAACACACAAACAGCGCTCTGTTTCCTCCTCTGTGAGTGTTTTCACCCGTGGTGGGCCTAACACGGTGGGCAGGGAGAGAGTTTGTTGTTGTTACACATCAGAAACACAGCTAATGGTTTCTGTGCTATATTTTTTCCACTGAATGAACAACAACAACAAAAAGCCCGCTGCTGTCGAGAGCTCACAGGTTTAGACTAAACTTGTGAACAACCTGTTCTCATCCTCATTTCGTGTCTGTGGAAGCAGCTGGTGAGGCTCATGTATGCACATGGATTAGTTTGTTGTCTGTTCCCTGACAAACATCAGCGAGACGGGTCTGTCTCTCCCAACTCGCCTTTACACTGTTAACACCATCTTTACTAACCTGTGAGAGATAAAAGTCAAACACTGAAACTTATTTAGGTCACCTACACCAATCCATTAATTACCTTCCTTTATGATAGACCATTATCTCTGTATCCTCAACACCATCAGTCAGGCCACGGACTTCACAGAGATCACCATCATCTCCTGAATTAAACTTTATTTATACAGCGCCAAATCACAACAACAGTCGCCTCAAGGTGCTTTATATTGTAAGGTAGACCCTACAATAATACATGCAGCTAAAAACTAACCAATCATAGGAATTACACAAACAAAAACATGCAGGCTCTCTGATATGTGCCACAAACCAATTATATTACATATTTTAAAAAAAACGTCCATCACTTCCTTATAAACTTTTGTCGTTTTAGTGCTTTACTCACCACAAATCAGAATCAAAATCAGGAGGAATCTGAAAGAATCCATGAATGACGAGTGCAGAGTGACTGCAGAAGGAAACCAGCTTTACATTCGACACTGACAAGTGTTTATACAAGGAGGCAGCGTCATTTAAAGGAAGGGTTTGTGGTTCTCAGAATCGAGACCAGAAGCAGACAAAGAGATCACACGCTTATTCAAAAGTAAATAAATGTAAAGATCCTTGTGACCAGTGTGATTATTTAACTAGATTAACATCTCTGGCCTCAAAACAGAGCACACATGCACCGTCACAGCACGACACAGAGCATAAAGCAGGAATATCACAGGATGTCAAAATAAAGCTGCTCGATGTTCCAACAGTTCCCTTATCTTTTATTGACATAAGACTTTTGAAATGTGTCATATAAAACATAAGGAATGTGAAATAAGATATAAGGAACATGAGATATAATATAGTAGCATAGCACAAACATCTGATAATACTACACAATTATTAGGACTTATATTGTAAACACTGAGAACAGATATAAAACATCAGAAATATGATATTTTAAAAAAAAGAATAGAAAAAAATGAGAACAAGCTCTGTATATCAGTAAAGTTTATTTCATTCAAACGAGCCATGTGTCCATATAATCAAGGCTGTTGTACTGATATTTACAGTGTGTTTGTAGAGTCAAAGCACATTTAAAAAGCATATTTGCTTGTTTCCGTTGCCGTTGTACCATAAAAGTAAACACCAATAATATAAATTCAACACAATAAGACTTTTAATGGAAAAGCTAAACCAGACCTACAAAAAATGTAGTTCATGGAAGAGACCAAAAACATCAGCAACATATGGTCTCATCTGTACGTCAGTGTGAGTGTTTTTTTACTGTGTGTGCATTTTGCTTGTTTTGCTATGAGCTGAAGATGTCCCCGCAGCCGTGTGTTTCCTCCTCCGTGTGTTTACATCTCTCACAGTGAGAAACGGGAGACGGGCTTTGAGCTGTTTATCCAGTCAGACAAGCCTGACGTCTGACTGGAAATGGAGGGATTTCTCAATTGGCTGAGCATAAACTAAAAACATTGTCTAAGAAACAGTTCACCTTTGAATGGCCTGAGCATCAGCGTCTGAAATAACTTTTTATCTGTGAGCTGTCAAGATAGATCAATAGCTAGGTAGGTGCCACAGGTGCCTGCTGAGGGTCTTATACTGTCCTATGCAGGGATTTAATAAAACATTAAGTAAAAGTAACTTTAACATTGTGTAAAATTAGAATAATATGTATACATTAAATCTAAGAAAAACAGCTGCATGGATACAATAATATAATACAATATGGTAAATAGTTTGATATAATAGTAAAACACAGATAAGGTTGGGACATTATGGCTGGCAGGTGTGTGGCAGGTGTCACTTGTCACAGAATGAAGAGTTGTTATGCAGCTTCATAGAGAATGGTAGGAAGGTGTTCTTTATGGTAGCGAGGTGAAATCAGTCTGAGGGAGAAGAAGCTCTGCTGCCTCCGCAGTGTGGAGTGGAGCGGGTGGGATCGGTTGTCCACTTCAGTTTAGTGACCTCTGACCCTCAATGACTCAAACGCCTCTAAATTGTGACCAATGTCGCTTCGAACCTTTTGATCCCTTTGCTGATCCAGCTGGCTTCTCTGACTCTGATACTTCCCCCCCCAGCAGACAGCAGAGCAAACAGCAGTCGCTGCTACAGACTAGTAGATCTCAAAGGGTTGCATTTTTTCAAAGCAGCTATTGGTGCTCATTCATGCACACGGTGCGCTTTGTTATCTAAGCCCTGCCCTGTAGGTTATAACATCAGTGAGATGGCTCTGTCCCAACTTGTGTTGTCTCACTGAGCAGATTCACTGCTGGGAAGCATTTAAAAGAAAAAATAGCAAAAACTTATTTTCTAAACTTAACTGTTAAAAGAAGAAGAAAAAGCGAAGAAAGAGGAGAAAATTAAGAACAAAGAGACACCCCGGGGTCTGACTAACCTGCAGTTTGTGCCACTACCACCTCCTCTTTTTTTACCCTAATGCAGTGTTTATGGATCACCACTGGTGAATCGGGGCACAAACACACAGAGAACCACAAATATACTGGAGAGTAAAACCACTTAACCTTGGATATCCTCAAACATTAGTCTCAAAAACGTTAGAAATGTGTATCATATGATCCATAAACATAAAATAAGATGTTCAAATGTGCAAAATGGAGACTAATTTCACTCCATAGTAAACACCAACACACCAACATACAGAAATAAAGACAACAGATTAGTCAGAGTCAGGTCTTTTCAGTAGATCACTTTTAAATGTTTAGGACAACTCTCTCACTGAACAAAAACACACATATCAAAAGTTTTTTAAATAGTTTTCCAAAACCTGTACAGATGGCTCTTGTTTCGAATACAGATGAAAATATATTCATTGACTGTCAACCCGAGAGCTGACATTCAATTGACATTCAGACGAGCTGTAAGGGCTGAAATCAAACATTAGAACATGTAGGCAGATGTAGAACAACGATTAGTATAGATGATTATTACGAGGTGTTGAAGAGCAGTCAGTGTAACAATAAACATTTGCACAAAAAAGCTGGTCAGCTGCTGTTGGTGTCAAAATATTACAAATATAAGTATAAAAAATGCTGCTATAGTCAATATGATCAATTGCAGTGAAAGGTTGGAGATGTTACCAGCAGGGGGCAGAGAGGGGATGTTTGAGTGCATACATTAAGTTATGTAATGCTAGTCTCTGCGTGTGAATACATTATACAGAACAATGTAGGTTAAAACGCATAAAAGGGGAAGAAGTGCAGAGACAGCAGACCTGAGATGAATTTCCTGACATCATTCAGATGAAAGAGGAGAGACCACTGAGTGTTCACAGGGTTAGTTTCATGGGGATTACTCATATATACACTAACCTCAGCATCTGAAACACTGAAAATATTTAATATGAACGTCCAGTGAGAAACTTTGGAGGTGGAGTAAAACACTTCAACTTGAATATCCTCAAACATTTCCTGCCTGGAACTGAACCTGAACGCAGTTAAAAACCTACTTCTTACAGGGCTTGTAGTCTGAAACACGCTTGATCTCTGATATATAATATAATATATTAAACGTGCTGGGAGAAGGTCCCTGGACAGACCCAGGACACGTTGGAGAGATTATATCTCTTGGCTGGCCTGGGAACACCTTGATGTTCCCCCCGACAAGCTGGAGGAGGTGGCCGGGCAGAGGGAGGTCTGGGCTTCTCTGCTTAGGATGCTGCCCTTGCATCCTAGGTCATGGGAAAAAATGGATAAACACAGATGCATGGATTCACTGCTTCAATCACCTGCAGAGCCAGAAATCAGAGCCAAAATGCATGTGAGGGAATTGATGAATGACAGCGGCAGACAGAAGTGGCTGCAGTCTGTCTTAAAGCAAGTTTTCACTCAGCTGTCTCCTTAATGAAGGGAGGGAGTGACTCCTGTTACTTAAAGAGAGATTTTACAAAGCAGAGAGGAAGCACTTCTTCACCTGTGTGAACACTGGATTAGATCACTGGGAGCAGTTGTTATGGAAGTTAAACGCTCTTCCTATAAGACATCTGCAAGCAACAAAATCACACTTAAAACCAACACAATGAGACTGAGACGTGATTTGGAATTGTGAAATAAATAAATGTTCACCCAACATGAGTGACCATGCTACCTTCACTATATTAGAGTTCAAACAGCTGTGTGTGCTGTCCAAAATTTTCTCAGTAATCACTATTAACATATTATTATTGAAAATAATGATACTGATTAATCAGACACAAGTCTGAGGAGCAGGTGTCTCTCACATGCATCATACAGCAAGGGTGCAGTATACACAGCTGTCACTGCTTATTGAACAAAAACACACTTATCAAATGTTTAAATGTTCTTTTTTATTCTAGTATACTTCCAAACATGTGACACAAACAGCTGGTGTTTAATATACAGATGACTCGATATTGAAGCAAATTATTTGAACTTTTCTGGAGGAGCCTCGTTATCGGTCTTCAGGATATCCACGAACAGCATCAGGATGCAGGTCCAGATGTTTCTGCTGTGATGTGAAAATGCTCTCACTTTCCTCGCAGGTTAAATATGTGGTGGTTAGCACTGTTGCCTCACAGAAGGAAGGTCGTGCATTTAACTTCACCACCATGCCACGGCCTCTCTGTGTGGAGTTTGCATGTGTCTGTGTGGGTTCTCTCTGGGCACTCTAGCGCCCTCCCCTGGTCTAAAGACATGCAGTTAGTGGAGTTAGGTCAACTGGTGAATCTAAATTACCCATAGGTGTAAATAGTTGTCTGTCTCTGTGTTGGCATTGTGACAGACTGGCAAGGGTGTACCCCGCCTCCCACCCTGGTGGCTGGGATAGGCTGCAGCCATCCTTACAATCCTGACAAGGATGAGTGGAAGAGAATGGATGGATGGATTAAAATATGTTTATGTGAGATTTAATTCATCTGAATTTTCAGTTTATGAAGATTAACTTTGATCTTGGTGAAACAGATTTGCCCTGGAAAAAATGAAACACTGGAATAAACCTGAGAGCTGAGGGTGGGGGATCCCCATGGTGTTGGTTTTGCACACAGAAAAGCACAGGCGTCGAACTCCAGGAGTCGAGGGCTGATGTCTTGCAGGTTTTGGATCTCACCCTGGGTTAACACACCTGATTCAAAGGATTAGTTCATTACTAGGCCTGTGGAGAACTTAAAGACTGTGTTGGATCAAGGACACATCTAAAACGTGCAGGACACTGGTCCTCGAGCCCTGGAGTTCCCCACCCCTGCAGAAAACAGCCATAGAGCAGGGGTGGGGAACTCCAGTGTGCTTTGAGGGCTTTATGTGATATATTTAGGCAAAGTTTGCTTTTAACCTGGTAAATGGAGGTTTTGTTGTAAGTGGCTGTGTAGTTGTGAACTTGTGTAGAAAGTTTTAGGAGACATCATTTTAAGAAACGAGTCTCTGCAATCGAGAGAAACAGTAATAATAATGTCATTGATAAAAATGTCCTCATAGACGGTGAAAATGCATGATGACACTGGTGATGTTGTCTCATCCAGCTCCTTCTTGTTTATCTGAAACAAACCACAATTTTTTAAAAATTATTTAAGAAATTAAATATTGAAGAAAATTTTGAACTGTGGTAAATATAAAGTTTAAAACGACGTAAAATCTGGAAGTCTGAATCTCACCTTTGAGTTTCCTGTAATCGTGTCATCTCAGCATCGCAGTACAGGCTGATGCAACAGTCAGCAAGACAGGAAGAAGACCAGGGACGAATGATGCAGAGGACGATGTAAGTGAAAGTCCAGATGTAGGTGGAAGTGTGTATGTAGGGGGAGGTGTGGATGTAGGTGGAGGTGTGGTGGTGTGTTTGTCTAAAATAAAGCAAACACAGTCATTAAGTTGTCGTCACATTGTGAATGTTGAAAGCTGCAGAAACACAGACAGGTGAGTGTGTCACCTGTGACAGTGATCCAGCTGGATGGAGACTCTCCATGACCGCTGATGTCACACTTGTAGAGGCCTTCATCAGACCTGGAAACATGCTGGATGGTCATGTGACCTGTAGGCTGCTTCCTGATGAGGGAGCCATCTTTATAGAAAGCAGCTGGGAGGTTGGAGGGAGTGGTCTTTGTTTTACAGAGCAGAGTGACGTCATCTCCCTCCATCACAGGGAGGACAGGACTCTGCAGGATCACTGATCCACCTCAACACAGAGACAAACTACAGCATTTCATCCATTTACACACAGCTTCATCAACACTAACTCCACACACTCAGCTTACCAGTGACTGTCAGGTTAACCATGTTACTGATGGGACCCTCTCTGGACTCACACCAGTAAACTCCACTGTCCAATGGTTTGAAGATGTAGCTGATGTTACAGGAAGAACCAGCACCTTCTCCCCACCCATCTCCACACTGAGTCCTCTGTTGTTTGCTTGTGTTTCTCCTCAGAGTCCATCCAGCAGAGCTGTCGTCCTCCTCACAGCTCAGAGACACAAAGTCTCCTTTAAAGAACTGAGAGCTGCTGGGACTCACAGTCAGACGAGCTGTGAGGAAATGAAAACAGAACATGTGGGCAGAAGTCGTTTCAACAGGCTGTAGAAGAGCACGCATTGTAGGAATGAACATCTGCTCAAAAAATCTTAACCTGCAGTAAAACAAACTGAAAATAATCACTAAGCACATTTAATGTAAACTTTAATCCACACTCAGCAACAACTTCTCTCCCAGCAAAGATCTAACACAACATTCAATCAGTAATGATTTATCTGACGGTAAAGGTGTTAGCTACAGAGGTAAGAGGTAAAGAAAACCTAGAAAGAAATGAACTCTTTATGGCAAAGAACAAAAACAACACAAGCAACATAATGACTCATCTACACGTCAGAACGTGTGTGTTTGTCCACACACATACACAGTTCTGTTTCCTCCCCTCTCTGTTTGCATTTCTGAAGGTGGGCACTGAGAAACTCTGGAGGCGTGCTGCAATCCGCTGATCCAATCAGTCAGTCAGTGTTTCATGTTTCCTCTGTTATTTTTTTTCCACCGGATGAATGGAAACAAGCCACCATTTGGCTGGTCTGAGCCCACTCCTGCCTACATCTACCAACTGTATATAAAAGATGGATACTATGCAAAACTCTTGAGTCATCCCTCATTTCTTTATATTTTACTTCCAATTTACTTTCTTAGAATTTGTTAAAGTGGTCTTCTGAAAAATGGCTTTCAAAGTGTTTCTTTGGACACCTGCTGATTTTCCATTTATTTTCAGTCCAGTCCTTTTACCTGACCATTTTCAGTCAGATGCTCTTTTTCTTTTTCTTTTCTTTTTTTTTAACCACTTAACACTGATCTATGAATCATTCAAGCATAACGAGCCACCTGACTGAAGGGATGAATTAATATTATATTAATATTCTTAGACAATATTTTATTCTACTAAAAATTCCAAATGTAACAGTTTCATAGACATAAAATAGGATTTTGCAATGACGCAGAGCGAAACTGGACCAATGGAGGACAAAAAAAGAAGCAGCCTAAAAAACTGTTTGCAGGAGATGAACAGTGTCTGAATATCATATAGTTAGTAAATGTGAGCAGTAAAGAAAAGATGCAGAAAAGACCTGATACAGGACCTCAGTGATTCATCTGGCCCTTTAGTTCATCTAAATCAGTAACAGACTAATAAAGGTCTGAGTTTTCTGTAACTTATGCCACCACCAACACCTCTTTAACATCCTAAGGCAGTCTTTCTTCAAAGCACTGCTATTACAGTTACTTTAACAGTAACAGATGCCTGCTATAGTAAACATTCACCCTTTACTCAGACAAACACAGCATTAAAAGACTGCCCACATATTGACTTTTGTCTTTAATCCTGGCATGCATGAATTATGACAACCTCAATCAGGATTTTTTCATAAGTATTTTTATTCATCTTTAGTCATTAAACGACCAGTGGTGGCAGGGTATGGAGTGACACATCAGTGTCCAGTAGTGGTTTATGTGCAAGTATACTATCAACACTGACACAAATACAAGAAAACAGCCTTTGAATAGCTGTCCACTGTAGTGACCGCTATGCATGAAAAGGCTAACCGCTTCACTCACCTGAATACCCAGAAATCAGAGTCAAAATCAGGATGAATATCAGAGAATCCATGAAGGACAGGAGCAAAGATGAGCGGCTGTGGTCCACCGTGACATGAAGGACAATAAAGTTAGACTTAACGCTTTAAAGAACTGAGAGAATGACTTTTGTATTTCAAACAAAGATTTTCAGTTCTGCAGAGCAAGAGGAAGAGAAATTTCTGAGAGCACTTTAAAGATGTAAAGTGTCTAAGATGTAAAGTTCCTCCTAGTCTATGTGCACGTTTGACATGTGGAAATCTGAGAGATTAAAGTCGACGTGTCAACTCACAAACACAACTACAGTTAACTGCAGCCTCACATTTAGCATGCAGAACACAGCAGGAACACCACAGCATGCCAAAATATTACACATGCTAGACGATCCTCAACATGCTGATTTTTATTCATTTCACTACAACTTGAATGAAAACCGTGAATGATTTTACTTAAAAAAACAACAACAACAAACTGCAAATGTTTCACTGCTGACCCTGTCCATCAGACCACCATAGTGATGGCTGCTTCCAGCACCTCAGAACATCAAAGCTGTCAAAGCTCAGAATATGTCAATGAGTTCAGTGTGTACTCAAATCACCTCCGATTTTAATCTAATTGGGATGTGGTGGAACACAGGGGATGTGCAGCCAATAAATCTGCAGCAAATGTGTGATGTCATCATGTCAATATGGACCAAAATCTCAGAGGAATGTTTACAGTACCCTGTTGAACTGGGGCCAGCCCAGTATTAGCGGGGCATCAATAATACAATATGTAGGTGTGTAAAGTCACACACTAGTGGTCATGAGAGGATGTGTGCTGAGACAAAACACCTTCATGTTGTCAGACTTTTTGTACTTCACGTGTGATCCATTTTACATTCTGCTTTGAGAAGGTCTCATATTCAGCTCTGCATCTTGGTTTGATTCGCCTGTCATGATTGTCATTATGACGTCAAGCCACCGACGAGACTTTTTGTTTGAGCTGACAAGAAGGCGCTCATACTTTCTGACTTGGCAATGTCACATTGATTCTCACTTTGCACATATACGTTAGCTTCAGCTTAAATTTATAAACCATCTCTAGTTTTGTTTCCAGCTGCAGCTGGTATCTAAATCCTCTAAGACTGATCTGAAGCAAGCAACAGACTTACAGGTTCTCAACTTGAGATGTTTTACAGATTTCGGAAGAGAAGATGCACAGATGCAGGAAAAAATGTACTTGAGAGGCCCGGGCTGGCAGTTTAACACATTCATACAGCAAACATGCCGCAGTCTGTGGTGTGAATGGCTCCCAACGTCTGGCTTACCAGCAGAGACTCAAAGCTCAGAGGAAATGCACAGGAAGTGCTGACAGAGTGTGATTATGTCACACGATTATTTTATTCAGTGTTGTATTCATATTTGTTTTCAGCTGTTGAAAGATGCTCTGAAAGTAAAGTTAACATGTAAGTAAGAGTAGAGTAAGAGTTCTTTATGAGGGCAGAGTTTCATTCAAAACCAGAACCATAAACATTTTGTAGTTTGGTTTCACTCTCAGTTCGTCACGCATTCGGGTGGTCTCTGTGCTGAGAAACGGAGCCACGTCAGATGTTTTTCCTTTTTCCTTTACAGCTGACAGAAAACCACAGACACTTACACAGAAGTAGGACACTGTTTTTGGGGTGTGTGTAACTGAAACAAATGTGCAAATAAAGATGTGAAACAATGCCGAGAACATCGCTCCTGCTGTCGCTCTGTAAGTACAGCTTTTCCAAATACGAAATAATAGAAACGGGAGCATTAATGGAAACACGAAAGGTCACAGGAACAAGTGTTATGTGGGCAGATTGAATGATCGGACAAATGAGTGAAATCCTGTTTGATGCTGAAAAATAGCCGTTTTTAAATACAAGTTTTAGATTTTTCTTATTTTTGTTATAATGTAAGGAAATATTTGCTGGAGACAGATTATAAAAATTGCAAAACTGTACACTCAGCTCGCAAAATGTGAGAAATATAAAGTGAACGCGGAGAGAGAGAGAATATCAACCATAGGGTGAAACGTTTCTCGTTGGTGGTCAATGGGTTTGTACGAAGGTTTGCTTCAGTTGCTTCTTCTTAAGCTCCCTCCACAGATTTTCTTCAGGACCGAGGTCTTGAAACTGCTCTATGACCTTAATATGCTTCTGCTTTAGCGGCTCCTTTGTTGCCTTTGCAGTATGTTCTTAGTCATTGTCATGCAGCCATAACCCATCTTTATTTTTCTGGCTGATGGAAGGAGCTTCAGTGGCTCGATTCATTGGCTCCTCAGTGGAAAGAAGTCATTCTGCAGAAAAAGAGCCTCAAAGAATCTTTAGGGCGTTTCTCTTCTTCAAACAGCTGATAGCAAACAGCATGACTTTACTTTCATCTGACCACAGGATGCTCAGGAATCTTCTCTCAATCATTCACACGTTTACTGGCAAACTTTAAATGGGCCTGATTGATTGGTGTGACACATCCGCACACAGCTGATATGGCGATTGTGGCTCAAGAGTTGGGAGTTTGCCTTGTAATCGGACAGTT